ATCTTAACTTTGAGTAATTATTTTATTGTTCTAGATATACGTGAAGAATACCGTCGTGTTATAAAAATTCATTAAAAATGTTTAAAAAAATGTAATGGGATAGTTTTTTGTAAGCTTAGATTCATATAATATTATATAAACCTGTTGCGCCGTGATGTCACTTACAATTCGGTTATTCGCAGTCATAATTATTATAAAGTATTTATAATAATAACATATCAGCAGAATAAATTAAAATAATCAGTAATTATACTTTTACTTGTTTCCCGTTTTGTATAGGTTCAGTAGGTCAACGAGCTAAAAACCCTACTCGGGTCGTGATTTTATAATAACGTATATTATATAGGTATAGCATATTATGCATTGCGTTGCGGTTTTTTAAATTTATTTAAATTAAGCGAGAAGATCGTTCGAATGTCTCGCGAATCGCCACCTCGGCCAATACAATTTATAATAATATATGACATATAATTATACCAAGCAGACAAAACTTAAGTATGTTCATCACTTATTTACTGGGTATTAATGCGACCCCCGGAATTTTATGATCGTTCACTGTGCATTGAGCAACACTATAAATGTCAAATAATTGTTGAGATGTACGTAACAATGATTACATTACTACGTACGATAGCTAGGTATCCGACGAAAACGCGCATATACATGAAATAACCTAACAAAGCAGATAATACGTGCGTTTATGATGTGTACACATTATATGAGTATATGACATTATTACATTACATTAGTATAATATTATATAACAACACATTCGTATAGTGTATGCGTATAATTCAGTATAGGAGTATACATACACTATATTAATATCAATACGATAAGCTCATATACGATAGGTATCCTGTAAGTGTAACTGTGTAAGTATTCTATCGTGTGTACCGAGACGTGTATCCATATATAGGTATACATCAGCGGAATTAATGTGTTTAGCTGTACACTGAAAAGGAACAAATAAGACATACTCATTTTGTATAATATATACGATTACGGAATGAACAACGTGATGCACAATATAATATTATAAAAAATAAAAGTTGTGTAAAACATTTTATCTTTTAATATTATATATTTATCATGTATCCATATTGATGAGTACAGACTATGGGTAGGTATATCGTTTATGTAGCATGTTCGGTATCGTGTTTTTATATTATATAAATACAGCATGTAGGTATGTATGTATGATGTTCATAATATATTCTATATTTATAGGTAGGCATGTATAAAATGATCATGGCAATTTGCATCGTATATAAATATAGTCTTGTTCGAGTTGTTCGCGTGCTGTTCGACAAGCGGCGGTAGGTCATGCCCCAGTGGTATTGGTACAAAATAATGTACAATAAACTAATAATAATAATTAGTATGTTGGAAAATATTTTTTCTTGTCTACACAACACGTCCAAAAATTAAAATTTTTATTGATCCTTTGATAGTATATTAGCCATAATATATGTACCTAATCTAATATTGGTATAGGCCTGTCAATCTAAGTAAATTCATCGTTTAAAAATAAACGACAAGTCAACTATCATTTTATCACTATGTAGATATTGTAGAATAAATATTATTGCATACCCACAATAGTCATACATCATAACATAAGGTTATAGTAATAAGGTTATAGATTAACATCGCACCCGCGGGTATTACAGCGCGTTAAAACTTATTTTTAAATACAATGTCTGCTTACCTCTTTTTTCAGGTCATTTAAAATCTTCAAATATACCCAACACTTTTAGATAGATTTTTGAGTATTTTTGTTGGCTAATTCAAGTGTAATATTACTGTATGATATATTATCTAATTACAATACATAATTACATATTATTATACATATATATACATACAATTATAGTATTGCGTGTTTGTGAATGACGACACGTGGTATAATAGTTGTATTATTATAATATTAGAAGAGAAAAGCTGCTGCAGGGCATAAATTGCATTAAAAACTATATATTGAGGTGCTTAGATATTGACATTTAAACTGCTGGCATAGGCATACAGATGAACAAATGTACAAAAATAAAATATTTCTGTTTAACAATTATAAATATTAATCTGTTCACAACAGCATTTTACACTGTCTTCTAGTGCGTACAATAATATATTCACACACCAATCTATGTATTATTATTTTTCGGATAATTTTAATTCACCACCGCTAGTCATTATATATAACAGTTGGTATATGAGCAAAGCCAAGGATGGAACAAATTTTTTGGGAGTTGGTGTATATAACATGTAATAACTATACAAAATGTATGTTAGATAAAATATTTTTATAACACAAATAAAGCGTAGCAATGTTTTGTTGTTCTTTTGCGAAACTATATAGTAATAAACTAATAACTATGCATTACCTATACATGGTGTACTTATATATTATATAGAAAACGATAACAGCATTCGTATTCGCACTGAGCGATAGGGCCTCGTTGAACCACAGGGACGCCAATTAAAACGAGACTAACGAAAAACAGATTGGCATATTATAAATTATAATATATAGCCATTATATAGGTAGGTACACGCCATAAATCAACGCTCGCCAATATTGCTGCGATAAAGGTGCGAATATATTACATTATACTCACACGACTTTACAATTAATTCTGCTGGCACGTGTATATTTTTTTATATATTGTGCGTATGGTATGAATATCTAAAAGTTTTTTTTATTGATATCAATTATATACACTATACAGCCTATTATTTATAGGCCGGTCTTCGAGAATTCGAGATTAACTCATCGTGACGTCCACCGCGGAGAGTGTGCACATTATAATATTATTAATTATAACATACCGCGCGTGAAAGTCGTTTATAAAGTATAGACTGTAATAAATATTATTATAATAATAATATTTATATCGAGAAGTTCTTTCGACCGCCGCGGCCGTCGCCATTGCAACGAATAGCGAATAATATTATTTCTATACAATAATACCTGTCTATTATAATAATATAATATTAGCTATGGTATTAACAAGTGTAGCCGAAGATGTGCGGCAATTAACGATATCGTGAAAGTATCGATATTAAAAAATATGGGCAAGAAATAAGAATTCTGCTGGTTGAAAGCATAATGCGTCCTATTATAGTGCCGCGATTTAAATTCTAATAATATTATATCATATAAATCGTAAAACTACACTTGGGGTGGGTAATCGCCAATCAGATGATGATATGGCGCTAGATGAATTGCAATTATCGAGCATTCATTTTAACGAATTATATAAGTGCCTAATTTTTGTTTGATTTTTTTTTTTAGATTATGTTCTATACGAAATGATATAATATAATAGCCATCGAAGTGGATGAGACGTACCTATACTTAGTTCATTGATCGTTATCCTTATACGTATTTTGACTTCGATATTATGTTATATTTTATAATGTCTACGTATTCGAGTCAGTACTACAGAACCGAAACAAGCATTACTTTATTATTACTTACCTAGGTGTATAAAATACTGAAATACAGTAATTATAATCATAGTAAATTAATTGTTAAAGTTAAACCACGATGTCTGCAAATTGTCAACCCATTTGGTAATTGCTAAGTGGTGGCTATATTTGCCCAACGGGACACTGAAGATTCCTGGTGTCCTGGCTTAATGGCATTATCGATTTCCTGTATAGCTTGTCAGCTATAACACATTTATTTGTTTCTTTACAGCTACTCCCAATTATACTAGAGTACGATTTTGAGTTTTGAGTTTCTGTAGAAATGAATTGCTATAATCTATAATAAAAATAATGATAGCTGATTGGTATTGTTAAAAATGGCCGTCCCAAGTCATCCTATAGCGCGTATCCTGGATACGGGTACTATGTTGGTATATACAATATACATATTTATTACCACTCGTAATATATTTTAAAAATTACTTTATGAAGTTGTTTTTGATTTTTCTAAAACAAGGGAACAAGGTATGTATATGACATTCGCCTCGCCCCTTAGTCGAGGTGTGTTTAGTGTCAAGTGCAAGCTTATACACAAAGCCGATTATAATATATATATAAGCTACACAATAATATAATATATTATATTTTCCTTTTCAATGTCGTGCCAGCACGCGTGGTTTTTGTTGAGACGACCTCCAATAATATTATAAATTATAAAAAAATATATTATAAACGAATATGGCGAGCTATACATTGTGATGTTTTTGGATCTGTTGCGGCTTATTGCGGGACACTCCCGAAAAAAAAAATAATAAAACCTATTCCGCCGACATTCCGTACCTGACCCACTCGATCGGATGTTTGCGACGCCGCCGCGGGAGATACGATTGAGATATTATTGTACAATATATAATATACATTATAAAATATATGTAGGTACCTACAATAGTACAATCCACATAATATATATTATGTATATAATATATGCTAATGTTATATATTATTATGTATATGACACTATGTAGTGTATATATATATGCATGTAATATGTATATAATATTAAATATAGTATATAGCTGTCGCAGATGATGCAGCTCCGCAGGTATTTATTATTATATGAGGCGCGCGCCCACGGGTCCCACGCGGAATACTCTCAATAAAATACGACTTATATTATCGTAAATTATTATTCGTTACCGAACGCGATTATGACATACAGTTGCAACGTGCCTCACACTCTTAACCGCTGATGCCTGATAGTATGTTTTTGAAAAATCTATTACATCGTAAAAGAGATCCACAACTATTAAATTATAATATATGATTTAAATGCAAAACATTTTTTGGTTTACCGTAAACTCAAATTAAACATTTATGATTTTTGTTTCGGTTACTAATTATTTTTATAAAGTCATTAAATGTACCCATATGAAAATCGATAAACAGTTGTGGGCGGGCTTGCACAGAAAATAAAACCGTAAGACACACCGTGTGATTGCGGTACCTGCAGCTGTTATGATATTTATAATAATATAAAAGGGACATATTTTGGAAATGTGTTACTTTTATTAGTTATTTTATATACTTTATTATACACGCCGCGACTTTACACCTTATGGCAGGTGTATCGGAGTATCTCTATTTTATAATTAATATAATATATTATGTCTTAATCGCCTTTGCAGGGCTTATGGTGCGCAGACAGCACCAATAATTGCCGTCGTTTGGACGTTACACACAGCAGGCTTATAGCGTTTATGAAGTACGTGATCAAGCAAACCAAACACAGTTCCTGAACGACGAACACCAACACGGAAGCCAAGTAAAATGTGGACACATTGGACGCGATCGCCAGGTAGTAGTGGATGTTCACGATTTTATCCCTATCCGAACAACCTGAAAGTTAAAAGTGAACAAGAATTACATGATAGATAGTTGCAAGCACCTAAATATTAATATGTAAAGGTATTAGGTAAGTATAGTCAGTATAGATCATAGGTTCCCAACCTATGGTCCGAGGACCTCTAGTGGTCCGCGAGACATTGTCAGGTGGTCCGCGAACCATACTTACAAAATGTAAAAATATTTTAATAATTTCATTTCCCTTTGAGGCATGACACTAATTATTGACAATCGTATATAGTACGTCGTTTATTTATAAATTTATATTACATAGTGAAACCCATGTTATTAAAAGCCTCTTATTCATGTAATAATTATCAAAATTCTAAAATATGTGAAAAAAAATTGATTATTATTTGTAAAAAAAATAAGGTATACAATTGAGGTGGTCCGTGACGTATCGAAAGTTCTCATAGTGGTCCGTAGTACCAAAAAGGTTAGGAACCACTGGACTATAGATGTATAAGCAAGCTATAAGCTTAAAGTTAGAGACAGAGGTAATTGGTAACATGCATAATCAGAAATTTTATTTTTTATTCGTTAAAATTAAATATTAAAATGCATTTTAAAATTATACACATTATTTCCTTAAAAATGGTATCCTAAAATATGATAATCGAAAATAGGAAAATATTATTCAATATTATAATATTATTATTTATTACTTATTGCCTCTAATATTAATAAACGTACTCAACACGAATGACAGGGTGTAGAATAACATTCCAGTGAGTCCGTTGGGCACGTTGAAAGCTGAATCTTCGCCGAATATGAATCTAACGATCCCAAAACCTTTGGCGTAACTGTAATCATAGTTAATTTATAGTGATAAATAATCTTTAATACTTTTTACAGTGATACCAAACATTATTGTTTTTATTGTGTAAAAATCGGTGAATTTTTAATTTTATTAGATATGTATCGTCTAACGGTGCAGCGGTTGTATTCAATACCTACACTTTTAACTTATACCTACCTACGTATTATTGTTATATTTTGTTCGAGGATAAAATTTTCAATTTTGACCAATAATACCTAAATTTTCATGAATATAAAAATAAGTCCAGTTTTAATAAAGTTAATTAGAATATTGTGTATTGTATATTATTGACTATAGTACTAAATGCGACGAAAAAAATAATCATTTTCGGCTGTTTTGAGATTTATATAAAAAAAAACATTGGAGATTTGAATTTTAAACAAAAATAACTGAGCAATATGTAATAACTTCAAACAAAATATAAGTGATCTTTAATATGAAATATGATGAAAAAAAGTGCAAAAAATGTATGGCCCATGGGGGGATCGAACCCACGACCTTCGCGTTATTAGCACGACGCTCTAACCAACTGAGCTAATGGGCCGATGGAATTCAAAGGCAGATTTTTGACAATTTCAATAAAAACTGTGTATTATGATAAAGTATAGCAAATAGCAATGATAGTTATAAAAGCTGGTAAGTGGATGTCGCTCTGCTGAACATTAGGTGTCTAAGAGGTCGCTGTAATGGATGGTATTAAATTTGAATTCAATGATTCTGAGCGGAGACGGTGTAAGTCAGTCAAGGATATTTTATATTATTATTTCTTATTAATATGGTAGCCGGTAAGTTGAATTAATATTATTCTTAAATTATCAATGATGCTAGAAAAATATTAACAGTATTCATATATTTTTTAGATTTCTTGGTAACGGAAAGAACTGCTTAAGTTGAACTTTTTTTAAATTTTCAATCTTTAACTATAAAAATTGAAAATGTTATACATTTTTAACTTTAAAATCATTTTCAGTTTTCAATTTGATAAATATGGTCAAAATTTGAACTTAAATGCTTATAATTAAAAAAACAAATCGTGCCTATGTATTTTTAATATTTTTAAACTGCTATTGTAACAATTTATCAAGAGTCTTGTATTAAATTGTCATGCTTTTTGACCCAACCAATAAAATTGTATAGAAATGTATAGAAAAAAGAATGAAAGTTCAAAATGTCCATCAAAACATTTTGAAAATTGTATCAAGTTTATGAATTGATAAAATAAACATCTGGTGTAAATTTCAAGTGTTAACAGTAATTCGTTTTTAAATTACAACAAAATAAGAAAATCGCTACAAGAGAAATCCAGTGAATATCCAATGTTGTAAAAATTTAAACTTCAAACGCTCATAAAATTTAATTTGATTTTCCTGTAGAAATGTTTTTTTTTTTTGATAAAGGTAGACAAACTTGTAAGGAATCTTGTATTACATTTTTGAATCTTAGATATAAAAGAAAATTTTTTATGAATTTGTAATTGAATATAATTTGCTAATTTTCGTGATTCGTTAGTGAGACGGAGCCAACACTCTGGTATGACTCTTTTAATACTATTAAATATTGATTCTAATAATATGCATTACTTAACGATTGCAATAATAAAGTGATAACGGCACAGGGAACTTTATATCTTTACCCAAATTGTGTTGAAAATCAAATTTGAAAAACTCTGACTTTTCAAAACGACTTCAAATGATTAATAATTATTTATTATTAATAATAATTATAAATGAATAATTATTTATTATTATTCCATATATTGACATGATATTATAATAATATATATATTATGAATTATGATAGTCGATAGATCTAAATAATAATATATAATATTATGGTTATCGTTATTGCTACTGTAACTTAAACACCTACAACAAACTCGTGTTGTCAAATTAGTCAACATACTTGTACTGCGTTTTGCCCGTTACAAGGCGAATGTCGTGAGTTTGAATTATTGTTTGATAGTGATAATGATAATAATTGTTGATTTTTTTTTTATGTAGTCATAATTTCTTTAAACAATTTAATAGGAACTATAAATGTAAAATTGTATAATTCATTTTAAAATTATTACTAAAATATATAAAATAATGTAGTTATACTTGTATAAAAAATACATAAATCAAGTGATATCTATAATAGATGTCTGTAATAACAAAAAATAATATATGAAAAAAAAGTTGATATTTTTGACAGTAGGTACTAGTATTTGCTAACCCTAAACTTATTTAAAATGTGTTTCATCAAGTAAATATAAGGTATAAAAAAATTGTAAAAATTGACCTAATTAGTAATTAACAATTTTTATATGGCTCGTATATATATATACCGAACGATAATAATTATAAAAAAAAAAAACTATTGCACTTCAACCAAACCGATTAACATACCGACAATTGCAGTAAATTGTGTATCTTGTGCCCTTGCGCCTGTTGTAAAATAATCTGCATACAACGTGTCGGGGAATTCGCACGGATAGCGTTAGTTAATAATATTGTGTCCAGTACCTATTATCGTTTATTGTATGTATATTAATTTTCTAAATTATTTTACTACTATTTACATTTAATTATCAACTTATCAACGTTTATAATTTAAACTGTTTGACAAGTAAAATAGATAAATAAATAAATTAAAGCATAATTATCGTTAAAACTAATATTTATTTGTAGTATTTAATAAGTTTATTATTTTATCAGATCATTTAATATATTAGACAGCAATAAAGGGATTTTAAAATTTTAAAATAAGAATTAGATCGAATGACAAAGCTTTTGTTTTTAAAACATAAAAGCAAGCAGCTGCGATATGCATATTATTTAAGAACTAAAGGACCAAATAAAAAACATAATATCCTTAATATTTTATTACCCCCAATACATCCAGTTTTAATTTCTAGATGCAGAGTGCCAGTGAAAATATACATACTTTATTTACTATTTGCATAATAAACGAAGAATTATAAATTACTTTTGCTAAATTTGCCACTTTTTATACTTGTTGAAAATGTGTGGCCTTGTATATTACCAATTATTAGTTATTACTTATTAGTTATTGGTATATTATGTTTTAAATGTATTTGTTAGTAATAAAATATTTTAAAATACTTAACCTAACCTAAAATAACCAAGCCAAACCTAATAGCTGACATAAATCAATATATTGTTTTTATGAGATCCTAAAATATTTAATGTACAATACACTATATTATAATTTCTACATTTTTAAGCTCATTGCATTATAATACAAAAATATTACATATTATTATTTGACTATTTAGTATTTAATATTTCGTGTACTAAAACAGAAAAGATAAATTTCCTGTTAAGTTTGTAATAGGTATAAGAGAATGCCAGAATGGAATTATTGAACTGTTCACATAATGACGATATCCAAAGTCAGAAGAAGTGAAAGTTCATACAGTAAAATTAAATTCTTATAATATTTTGATTGTTCGAATTTTTAGTTAATTTGACGAGACAACTATAGATAATTAGAATATCACAAATTTACTTTTCTTTAATGACATACTATTTACATTTAACTTGAAATTGTTTTTCATCTTAAAGAGCAAGATATTATTGTATATCATTTAAAAACTGAAAATAATATATTTTTATTTATAATTTCAGTTTTGTAGAAATGTTTCGTATATTTTTTTAAACCCGCGTTAAGCATGGATTTTGTTGTAATTTTATAGACAATATTCAATCTCAGAGTTATATTAATCATTACATTATAGCCACTGAATATGTATACAATTGAATATTTATATACCTAGGTAACATTAGGAATTTAAATATTATATATTTCAGCAATATGTTTAAAAATTATAATATTATAAAATAAGTATCATAAGTCATAACTATATTGTACTCTTACGGCGAAATAAATGCTGGAGAACATTTGACGTATGCCCTAAGGTCACACAGTGGCTCAAAATCCGGATCATTTTCCAGTGAGATTTCCACGTAGAGTGCGTAAGCGGCCACGAAAAATCCGACCAACGCGTACGCCTTGATGATCCTGTTGACCGTGCCGAGCTGAACCATGATTCGGGAAGTGCGTCGACCCTTCGTATACACTCTCAGCAGTTAGCACACTGTCACATTAGCTGCACTCGCTCTCTCACACTTAAACTATTACCTATTATTGAGTTCGGTCATACGTGAAATTGGTTTTATGCAAATAACCAATGTACGACACGTTACTTACACTGTATTGCATCAATTATTATACTTGACCAGGGGTGACCAGAGTACGTGTCGGGGGCATCCTATTTAGTATTTATGGCGTATTCGCATCGTCCCAGATTACGACCAACTTCGGAGTGTTGTTTTTATTTTCCAAGTTTCTAAAAATGAAATCATACAAAAATTCAGCACCGACTTTCTACTTTGTTTATAATAACACGATATTAATATTTCTTTGGAGTTTTTAAAATATTTTGTAATCGAAATGTAATAATATTAAACATTATGGTAGTGTAATTATATAATGTTTTAATAAATATTATCTGTTATTTTATTATTTATTTGACAGTGGCTACGAGGATAAAATGTCTTGTAAATGCGAATCCGTCGATTTTTCCGGGGTAAATAGATATTAATACCTATACGATGACGGTGGTGTTTTCCATCAATTAAGAAAGGTTCGATTTATTTCTTCAAATACATTTTAGAGGAAAACATTGGGAGAAATGTTTTGTAAACCATCTCCTATAGCTCACAACCAACTGATGGAATTCGTCTAATGCGACACGTTTTTGATCTGTTTACCGTTAAATGTTATAAATTATAATATTGTTATTCGATTTGCTGCGCCCATTTATCTTTAATAACATACGATAGCTAGCTAGGTATACTAACCCAACAAAATAAATTACATTTTTTATCAAATTTGATCATGCACGACAATATGTACATATTATTAATATTAGTGTACGTATAATATATTATATGGGTATATCGTGTACACGCATATACAACAAGAAACAAGGGGCGGTGGCATTGGCAAGTATATCACCTAGACGCGTACGAATTTCAAATCGCAGCAGAGCTGTGTAAGTAGGTACATACCTGCAGACTGATTCCTATATTGCTATTGCTGTGATGACTACAAATTGGTTGTTCGTCCTACATTATAATTTAAGATACATCACGTAAGTTTGGCTTAATGGAATTAAAATTTAAAAAACAGCTAGAATAGAATTTATGAAAAACTGGTGTGCCGTAACAAACTGTTTATTAAAAACGTTTTTTAAGGGATTTTAAAAGGTCTTCTTTAAGCATTTTAATTTTAAAAAAAAGAAAACGCGAGATTAAGATAGACCATTTTTTACCTTAACTCAAAAAATAGGATTTTGTTTTTAACCTTAGAAATATTATTTATAATAAACGATAAAAACATTTCAATCACTAAAATATAACTGCGGTATTCTTGTAATCTATGCACGCTATTTGTTACTGGAAACAGAAGCACGAATCGATCGCAAAAGCGTCAAGTATTAGAGTTGTTTTTTTTTACATTTTTAATCGGCAACTGGGGGTTGCACAGACTTTAGTCATTTCACCCACCAGCCACCATCGTTTATTAATATTCACATGTACAATATATATTAATTAAACAAATGTGGAGGACCTCTAACCCTTCTGACCTCTGAGTAATTTGGCTTACAGCCCTCAATAAACAAGTCTTAACTAGCATTATGATGGTCCGTTTTGCCTCCTGCGTTCTTCTTCGGTTTTCTTTTGAAGCACCTCGTGTATGGACTTGCTGACATATTAGCATTTATTCGGGTTATGTCTAACCTAGCCTAACTTCTGACAAAGCGAGTAATCCGTGTACGGGTTTTTACAACGATAATCAATCGCTTTGAATGTGACATTGACATAGTGACATATAATATCACAGTCTGTTTTTCTTATATTAGGTAGGTTACAACCTACACTCCCGTAATCATAAAATTATCTAATTTTTGTTAATTTTTGTATTTTGGACACATAATGTCATAATATCAGAGTCTGTTGTTATAATATCAATACCTCGTGAATGTAATAATTCCTGTCGTGATTATGGTTAAAAAGAAACAATTAATAACCGTGGTTTATATAGTACGTGTAATAGTTTGGTATGAAATACTGTTACATAGATTTTCAGTATTATACTGCATGCAAGAAATATATTTATATATTACAATAATCAATAATATTAATAATTATTATTATGGTGATTATGGTGTATAGGTATAATGTGAAAATAAAAATCGAAGGTATTAGGTATCCTATATTATTTTACATACCTAGTCGCGATTAAATACAAGTGAAAAAATACATATTTTATGAATCATACTAAATATAACTAATACAACTACATATATGTTCCTACGCCAAAGGAAAGGTTGAATATTCAAACACTTGAAAAGCTAGAAAAAAAATTTTAAATGATTTATATGAATTATGTGCAAATATTTACTCACATAAGTTATTTTCTAACTCTAAATTAGACCATAATTTTTGATACAACTTATAATTGTTATACCTTCTACGACTTAACACTTAAGTTAGGTTAGTTAACAAAGTATAAAAAATTGAAAATATCTGGACATTTTTTGTAGATGAGCTTACTTCATTATATTGTGCTCGTGTGAATCCGGCCCTGCAAACCTGTAATACTCGGTTCTATTATTACGCCTTTGTGTACATCGAGAATTCTTTTTATTCTATGTCGCACGAGTCATGATGCACTGCAACATTAAATATAATTCGTTCTGTCCGAGAATTTTCAGAAAAATACTGTCATCGCGTATAAATTGACGTCGATGGCTGATGAGTATATATAAAAAACTTAATATGTTTACTTACTACAAAACAAAAAGTATATATATGTATCATGGGTAATTAGTGATCGTTATTCGCGTTCCATCTTTATTACCGTCGTTGCCCTCTCCTATATGCATGTAGAAGTATTATTTGCAATAACCGGTATAATCGCACGTTGGTTTGGCGCGTATTACTTAGTTTTACTTGTCAGTTGGTTTCTGCTCATTCTGAAATCACACTCGACAAAATATTTAACAATTTTCTGATATTGTTCTATTGCAATATAATATATTATAATGTTCTTCTAATATTACCACACGGTATATATTTTTTATATTATCAAACAATAAGTACAATATAATAAATATTGGCTGTCATTTTTACGTGTACATACAATTTTCCCATAATTGTTTTGATACTTTGTGTATTTTTTAAATTCCCACTGTAAAATGGCAGTAAATATTAGTTCAATGGTTATATTAAACAATATAATAACCACTCAACTGGACTTGGAAGAATTAAAACTCAACATCGACGATATGTTTTTAGTTATCAACGGAATAATTGTATCTTGTGAGTACATATAGATGATTTTATTATATTACAACATTATTTTCAGAACCATATTCATAAAAAAAATATTTTTGTTTGAACTGCTTGTCGAATTACTTATATTATTTGTTTAGTTGAATTAATTTCAAGTAGTTACACGAAATATTAAAAGCGAATTGATTAAAACTAATACATCACTGAACTATAACTATTTTTAAACATAGCTATTACAGAGTGGATAGATTTTTTAGATATTTCCTCAAAATTATATTCGGGATACTTTGTTTTTAATTATAATAATGAATAGAATCCGTATATTTAATACGATTTGTATAATCTACAAGGGGTTATCTAACATTGTTTAACTCAAAATTGGAGTAGATTCAATAAAAGTATTTTTGGTGAAAAATTTGAATGACATATAGTGGAAGTGCCTAAAATAAAATAAAATATATTTTTTGAATCAGTAAAAACTAAAAACATATTCATGTGAAATTATGTGAATTGGACTTAATTTAATATACTAGCTGCAGTATAGTTTATACTGTATTACCTGACGTCTGTGGAAAATTAAACAATTATAAAATACGGCGCTAAAAAGGTGTATAATATTAGTTATAGTGAACCTATCAGTTCATGGACTAATCACTGTCGATGTACCTCGTTTTGTGAACTAATATCTAATTTAATCAAGATGGACAATCCACTTCTGGCGCTTGGTATATTTTCAAACGTGATTCAAACTTTCCTGATATCTCTAAGAACAATTTGAAATTTTCATCAAAAATCAAAATCCATCAATTAGTCTTGAGTACATAAGCTACACAAATAGGTACTTAAATTAATTTTTGTATGCAGCATACTAACATAGATTAAACAAAATTGACGTGTGAGTTAGGCACCTATTGCAACGTATGGTCGTATATTGGTAAGAAAACAAGTGTTTATGAACATTGAGCACTCCCTGAGTCCCAAGGAATATTTTTCAAAATGTGGTGAAAATAGATCATTAAATCTCAAAATCCCTCTTTTAGCAACTCTCCGGGTTGCACCTCTCGGTCCAATTGCGAATCGAAATCATTCAGGGAACCACTCAAATACGCATAAAAAGTTTCTTCAAATCGGCCCAGCTGTTTATGAAGGTATAAGAGACATCCAGATAAACATTCGTATGATAATACGAGTATAGAAAATGAATAAAAATTATATTATAATTACAAATTTTTGTTGATTTTTAGTTTTAAAATTATTTAAGTTAATTTTTACTTTAGAAGTAAAATAGCATAAAAATTAAATTGTTTGACTATTTATATATATAGTATGTGTGAACACTGTATAAGTACTTACCTACGCATATTATGGACAGTCAATAAAATGTTATGTTATACGAAAATAGTAGTTAGTCATATAATAAATTAAGGTACCTCCTGGTACATATATTTATAAAATAGGTAATACAAAATTTAAACCTGTATAATTTTAAGGCGATTCTGTACTTGTGAAGTTTTTTTTTTGTTGCATATTGCACAACAAGCATAATTATTTCTTCAAGGATGGACTCTTCTTTTTAAATATTTTATCATTATTCTTGTAAAACCATACCTATGTATAATATAATATAAACTGTGGTAAAATTGAACAAAGCAGGTACCAATGAATACAATTTAAATACTACAAAAATGATTTAGAATTGAATGTAAGTTGACGCATTTATGCTGCAGATATGCAACTACCTATAATATAATAATAATGTTGTAGTACAATGTTTATGTCTTTCGATGTTGGTTTATATTTTACTTTATGATATAAAAGCGTAGCCATTCTAATGAAATGCAAATCTGATGCAAAGTTCTAGTTTAAATTCGATCAATAAAATATTATATTATATAATATAATATGTATGTATAACGAGCGATTGAAAAACCGACCTAGACTGCTGAAAGTGTGCAAAAATTATATGAGTTTTATAATTTATTCTGTTGTTTGCATTGATACGTGATTGCGCTTGCACAGATCCATAAAATGTAAAAAAAATCAGAATTAACCTGAACTTAGTATATATATAATACATATGCATATATTTATTGCATTTATCGATTTTTTTTCTGATGTAGGCTGACTTGTCGATTTTTTGATATTTAATAGTACTTACTTTATGTATACAATATATTTTGTTACTTAGGTACATATATTCTGACTCAATCTAAATTTCTTACAATTTCATCAAGTTAACACATTTTAGATATTATTAATATACCCAAATCTGGTCCCCCACTATACATCTATACATCACGATCACCCTCGTGTGAGGTAATCGGAAAAAAAATCCCAAAGCAACTATTTAGTACTTATTTAAATTATAATAATAAAAACAATATTATTATATTATTATATATAATAATTTATAGTAATTAATTATAAAAAAATAATAAAAATAAAAAGGTGCAACTCAAAGATACTTGAATACAAAAAAAGGTTATTATGTCATTTAGAGCATGTATTATACGCATATATATATATATATATATATATATTTCACCTCACGATATGTCGATATTAATAAGTACATTATAAAAACATCCTACAATATGTAAGCTTGTTAGGAAAATTAAAAATTAAATTAACGCTGATCGAACATAGTTAGCATTAGATGCTTTAGGTGAACCAATTAGACGTAGAAAAAGAGGACAAAATCAAAAAGTAAACATCCGCTTGAAAGAGTTAGTTATAAGACAAAGTGAAGATAAATTAAGCATTGGAGAGTGGAGACTTTTTGACGGCCGTGTCTAACAATTTAAGAAAACGAACCAACTGAACCGAACCTGACTATAATTTTATTATAATTATTATACATATTTTTTTTTCGACTGACTAACTAATATAATATTATGTTATTGTAATTATCTTTTTATAATTTTTAAGATTTTAAAAACTAAACGGTTGATGTGGGGATTTTTATTCCGAGATTCTGTGTGAGACGCGAAACCATGAACTCCGCCAAAACATCTTATTGAATAGGTACCGTAAAGTTAATTAAGTAGGCACCTATAAAAAATTACAATACAGGGTATTTTATTCCAGTTCAACATCACCGGACAAAAAAATTATTCGATTAAAGTAACGATACGTAAACTATAATAATATTTTCTTGGAACAGTAAATTCGGTTTTAAATCTAAACAAGCAACGCGTTCACGTGAACACTGAACATCAAACGTTGTTATATGACCATTACATTTGTATCCTGAACTCATGATTCGCGTAGCTAAACGGTATAATTTTGCCTACCTTAAGTATTTTATAGAATATAATATATACATAAGGTATGAGACTTATCATTCCATTGACGGAACTAGTGGCAGGGATTGGGGGTTAAGTTATTCCAAGTATAACATAAGTCCGTGTCCCCCCAATTTGTTATAATGTTTTCATATGACTATATAAGGTATATTCCATTCATGTAAATAATTAAATTTATGACAAAATATAGAATCAGGGCCTCGGACCCTTCAAATAAGTTTATTGAGATATATTATGATAATTATTTATCCAAGCACAATTGGATGACTCAATTTGTTCTTTCATTATTTTCTTTCATCGGATCAAGTTTTTTTACTTTCCATTATAACAGATTTTAAAGTAAATATTTTTAAATATAAAAATAACTAAAAATGCTACTCTTTGTCTTACACATATTAAGACTAGACATAAAAAATGATATGTCTATATTACAATTCCATTTTTGCAAAAACAATAACGACTAAATAAGGCATCGGTCACGACCCAAAAGCATTAATAATCTCGTTTGCTATAAAATTAACAATTCTAAATAATAACTTTTCAAAATTATACCTTTCGCCATACATATTGAACATAATATAATATGCAATGTAGTTTACATATACCTAGACATAGCCTACCTATGTAAAATATTGCCATTATATCTCACGATTTTCAGAAAGCTAGGGGGGGAGTAACGCGTCGGGGCTCATATGTAGGTACATAAGTAAGTACTATGTTATATCACTATGTGCGATATAGTGAACATGCTATTATAAGTATAGCCGGTAAAGCGCACTAAAAACGAACGATTATTGAGTTAATTTAAGTCAATTGTTTTATGACAGCAACAATGAAGTAAAAATATGTGTAATAATGACATAGGTAGGTACTCAGAAATTATTTCCACGGTATTCCATATCTAACGATAACACGAAAGTGCGTGTGGCCGAGTAAAATTCGATTTAAAATTTGAACATGATAATATATGTAGGTAATATGCGTTGCTTTTTGTTTTTTTAGATAAATTTTCAACAAAATACAATCACTCGTGTGACTCATTTAGGTATATTAGTTTAATAACAATAATTATATATTCAAGTAAATACGACATGGGTATTTACGTCGTCGATCGCCAGCACTATTTTATGTGATTGACTCATTTGAATATTATTTCCCATTTCGTAAAATAACATAATACCTATTAAATATTGTTTTAATGTAGCCAGTGACAATGAGAACTAAGAAGACATTATTAAAAACTACAATATAATAATATAAGTACCTTATAAAAGAGATTATATTCCCGTGCCTGATTATTGAATAAGATCACTTTTTTCACGAGATTTGGTGTGTTTGAACTTAAATATTGAATATTTCTGTGTATATAAAATATCATTGAATTTCAAATGTTAATCCGAATATAAATATCGTCATTTACTCTTTTCTAGTTATTGTTATAAGCAAAATAATAGATCTTTCCAGATTAATTTCTTATAAAATATGGTTATTTTTTAGTAACATTTTTCAGTAAAATAATTTTAAAATTAAACGAAATTATGTATCCTAGCTATGATCATCCGAGTCCGTAACGTTAAACTGATGAAGGAAAATTCGAGCTATCGAACTTAATTTATAGACAAAAGTGAAATATATATATATATATATATATATATATATATTATAATTTATACTATGAACAACTGATAACAGCGATCATGTGAATTTTTAACACATGAATATACAATTGTTTGTTGTTGATTCTAAATTTATTTCCTTATTTATTAAAGGGTTTTCTCTGCGCCATGAATATTTAAAAATGTATAATTTATTCTGCAAGGAAAAAATATAAACTATTTTATTATTTTATTATTATACTATCACTATTGTTTATCGGTTATCACTGTACAATAGTCAATAGACAACTTACATAATGTTATAAGTTATAACCTATCTATGCTCAATTGTTTTAGAAGTAAATAATTTGGATACCAAAATAAAAATGATGAATTAATCCTTATAAAATTATTCTTGTTACCTATTAGATATAAACATTTTAATATTCATTGCGGAGTATACACACGTCCTGTAGTTCTCACGCAGTTTTATTTTCGCCGCGTACAAGGTCAGATTATTTATCATTAGACTAAAATTGTGTGCTTTATTTATAAATACCTACCTAACGGTTAAAATGTATAATAATAAAATATTATATCATAATATGTACCAGTGGGTTCATATTAAAAATGTACCTATCTATTAAGATAAGTAGTTAGTTAAATATCAGTTAATAACGAATTAGCACTTTGAACAATATCCCAATTAAGTAATTTAGTTTAAATTAGGTCATATTCAAATAATTGATTTTATGAAATAAATTAATAATTAGTTATAGCATGCAGGTATATTTAATGTCTCTGGATGGTCTCCTCGTGATGTTAAAAATAAAATAAGTTGTACACTAGATGTACAATTTGATTATTGATTACATGGCGGCACGTACAATAAAGCACCAATTCCTAGGGTTCTCAATATCATAAAATATAAGATTTCTTATGAATAACATTTAAATTTAGTTTATACATGTTTAGAATGTTTAGATTATTAAGATTTTACAATCTTATTTTTTATAAAGATAATATTACCCATTCGTATAGTATGTTTATTGTATTTACTGATCATTAATTTTTTTACGATCAGTTATCACAAGCATACACGCCTTAAAGTTATATAATCTCTGGTCATTGGGCCTCGTGGGCTATCGATGATTGGAGCATTTTACAGCTATCCGACCCCGGCCAAATTTATTGACCCAATTTTGTTTTAGATATATATTATGGTGATTCCACGTGTCAGTCAAATTTTACGCTATTTATTCTCCCCAATAATAATTATAATTTTTTGATAATAATTATAACTTATGAACGATTAAAAACTATACATTAATCACAGCAAATTTAGTTATTGGTACAATGGTACCTACATTTATTGGATTTCGAGAAGATTGAATCCCAAAGTGACTATAAATAGTCAATATTATAAATTACAGAATAATAATTCAGTCGTCTGATAAAACATTCATAACATCAATAATAAATAATTATATTATTTATATTTTACATATGTGAACATATTTCGTTATTTTTTTAAAACGAATTGTATTTATTAAAATATTAGTTAGAAAATAGAAATATATTATAACTCATAAGTCACAAGTAATATATCTACTTAATATATATTAAACCAAATAATATTTTATAATTTTGTCTAAGTAATATTAATTGTGCATTAAAAATACATGTAATGTAACGTTATGTTTTCAATGACTAATGCGGAATAGATACTTATTGACTTTGTCAAAATATCAAGTTTTAAATATTCTTGTGTTGGTACCTACCTTAAATTATTTTATTTAATTAATTATATTTTTTTTAATGTTAAAAATTAAGATTTTTTGTGGCTATTATATATTATAAATGCAATTAATATCTTTATATTATTTGAATCGATTTGAAGTTAGGAAGTATTTATTCCTTTATAACATCAGTTCACAGTCGATTATCATACGTAATGCATAATATGTATAGGTACAATGAAATAGTATACTCCTTGAGTAATCATTTGTATAAAAAATGTAAATTAATGTTAAGTTAAATAATTTAAAATTTTAATACGTAGATAACGCGTATTAGATAATTGAGTTACTTAAACAGTTTAAATCAAGACGAATAAGATTGCAAAGTGTATACAAACATACATAGAATTCGACGACACGATAAACTTTAAACTTCAATTAAATATAGTTCATTGTCAGTGATGTTGTGTATATTGGAATGAAAAACACAAGTTACTGGTTTTCTTCGAATCCCTTACAAATATATACACACATTATACATGGATGATAAAAATAGTATGGTATTTGGACGTCCCCCCCTAGGATCTTAACTGTACTGGATGTTTCCCCCTGGACTAAGACATTAAGACATTTCCGGATTTCCCCCCTGAATCAATATTTATATTTTTTTATTATTTTATACCTACACAATAATGGATTGGAAAATATCTTCTTTCTTTGATTTTACTCGAAATATATGATCATCTATCGACTATCATTTACGATATGGATTTATAACCGAATTTAATGGGTAATGATCGATAAACCAAAGTTTTGTAATAGTATTATTGAACTATATGTATACACTAATTTAGCAACTTGTATAACTATTTAATGAAAAATCTCGTAAACAGTACTTACATTTATTTATTTGTACTTGTAATTTGTATATTGCTCAATATTTTTAATATTTATATATACATTTTGTATTGGCAATTATAGTGTTATTATAACGTATTACTGAATTACATTATTATATTAATATTTATTTATGTATTTAATAATATTATTAATTTAATCATTTGTAAATTTATTGATTTGAATTGCATATTATTGTTTAATATTTTTACTTTTAATTTTTTTTCCAGGGGGGAGGCGTTCTAGATTAAAATATTATATATTATCCCTCAAACCTCAGTACTTAAATTATATATTCGTATAGAAATAATATCATGATAAATGTATCACTTTCCTTGTTAACTTGTGTTTAAGCAATTTCGTGTAAATGATTAAAATACTATTTTGAATTATGATCTCGTATATGTATAGTTAAAATTTGATAACTGAGGTACAACATCAAATAAGTACACATTAGTATATTACTATATTATAATGTACATAATATAAAAGATATGTAGGTACCTAAACACGTTGGCGTATCGGTAAATAATTCACGTGTTATTATCGGTAAAATATAATAAAAATAATTAGGGTCAAACGTTTCTGAAACGTGATCACTGTTATGTACTTATGTGCATCGTTTGTAATACCTACATACCTGCATGGTATATGCCATGATAATAATGTATTGTATATATTTGTAATGTGGTACATCGGTGATCGGTGATCGGTAATCTTTATAGTATAAAACATAAAATTGTATTTGAAGTGAGCCGTTATCGAAGTCGGCAAATATAATAGGTAGAGAGTATAGAACATTATGTTATTGGACATTAATGTGTTTACATCAGACATTACTACATTAGACTATATGGTATGAAATAACTTAGCATGTTCTCATTAAATGGACTGTGCACCTCAAAGACAACGACTGTCTCCAAACTATAATTGTGTAAACAAACAAATTGATACACAGAAAAGTGTTATTGCAGCCAGTGAAAATTGGAATTTTTTAACTAAATACGCTTATTTAATTATTTAGAATCCATGAAATAAACATAATATTATATAGGTATGTTATACAACTACCTATGTTATTCATACCGTGATTTTCTTAAACTTAAATCAACATTGTGATCAGTAAAAAATGTCGGAGAAACATTTTTTAAAAATATGTCAATGATACACCTAAGTGATGACATTTCAGATAACTTTATTATATATTACGTATTTTACATATAATTATTCCTATGTAGGTTACATTGTACAACCTACAATATTATTGTAAAAAAAAATTATAATACTCAAGAAGTAAACCTGGACGATTTTCGTTTTTCCAAAATGGACAAGTCTTAGAGTGATAGGTTATAGGTATGCATTAGGTATTATGAAAGCAGGATAATAATTATGATGTATTCCTGTATTATCGATTTGTGATTTCATTTTAACTGTACTATTAAGTAGTAGCTTAAGAATTAGATTTTACAAAAGCTGTAATAAGTTTGTCGAGGGAATGGGCAGTTATTTTTCTAACTATTGATCAAGTTTTGCTTAGATAGTTTTTCTTCCGTTCTTATTTCAATCGAAAATCATGTTTTCCTATTAAATTCAACTAATTAATGAACAATTTTAACAAATAATCCAAGTATGATTAGGTAATTGTATAAATTTTGTCTTTTTATCGTCGTTTAAAAATCAAAATATTTAAATAAATTAAATAAGTTCGTAGACTGCAGAAGAATATTCAATAAAAAAATTATATTTATATTGTATATACATGAATATGATAACATAAATAATATTAATTATTATTATTATTTAATGTTTGCTCACAGTTATGCAAGTAGGATTCGCATGTTTGGAAGCTGGATGTGTGCAGCCCAAAAACGTGACAAACATTTTGATGAAAAATATATTGGATTTATGTGAGTATCTATGTAGTACCAATGGGCAATGAGTATACAATTTAAAAACGTTAAACTAGCGAACACTTTGATTTGATTAGCGATTTGTTTTAAGAACCATGATTTAAGTCCGTATAATACAGTGATGATATTATGGACTGATGAGTGTCTTCTAGCTATATATATATTATTATTATTTTTATTTATTATTATCCATGAAACAATTGTTGTGAAGAATTATGTGTAACGAAGCAGGATATTATTCTCACCTATTATTTTTGTAAAACTGTTTCCTTGACATCCCAAAAATAAAATGAAAGCTTACAATTTTAAATCTGATAATGAGTCATTATTTCTTCTTTTGAATTTTGTATTTCTTATTACTTTTCAAATACATTTTTCTTGTGGTCCGACCATGAACCAGGGTTTTTACATTGCACAAATGCACAACAAATGTAGTCATTAGTACAAATTGCATTCACGGGATACAAACTTAATGAAAGTTTTAATCGTTAAATTGTGTTAACAGGAAATCGAAAAAATTGATTAGTTCCTATCATAATTTTAAAAAGAAAATGAAAGCCTAATAATAACTGCATTCTTATAGTTGTTTAAATTTTTAAATATTATTGCCTGCCTTCTACATGCATATACTTACGGTAGATAATGTACTGTTTCTCCTATAACTTAAACGGCTATAAACATCTTAAGGCCTAAGACTAAGACCTACCCTATACTTAGCATTATACCTATATTATGGTAAATATATGGGTAATGATTAAAAAATAGCTTCCCATCATTTAAACACCAACAACAGAAAAACTGAAATTACACCTCCAGACTTGCATGTAGACTCCATAATTAAAATATTTAAAAATGTAAAATATACATATAATATGTAACTGAAAAGTCGATGCAGCTCTCGTAATAATGTTGACCAGGAATAGAGGTTTCGTGTGATGTCTTTCACGTTTCAACGTATCGTAATATTGTTTACATTTTTTTGATATTTTCTAATACTTTATTAGTCATCTGTGCCCTATCTTACTGGCTGGTGGGATACGGGTTGGCGTACGGTGGCGGTGGTTGCAGATATTACGGCAAGGAATTCTTCGCGGGCGTCGGCATGCCATCTGGCCAAAACGGCGTGTGGTTCTTCCAGTACGTGTTCGCAGCGACAGCGGCAACCATCATATCGGGAGCTGTGGCTGAGAGGTGCAATTTCATCGCTTACATATTATACAGCATTATCGTATCGGGTATGTCATAAATCGTATACCTAAGTGTATACAGTATGCTGAATAATATAGTATACACGAATTACGAATAGTGCTCGGTTGCAAGTACAGTTGGCTAGAATGCCCGGATTAAGCCTCTAGACACATTGGTGGTACTGAGGGGTGTGGTGTGAGCTAAAAGAAACTATTATCCCTCTCCCAAAAAAAAGTTTTAAAGAGTAAACTCTGTCTCCCATAGACGACGGTTATTCAACCGATTCTAACTTCTTAAATTTGTACAATGTTACCTACATAATAATAAGCATAATAATTTAATTTATTATTGTTTTTAATTATGTTTTTAAAATCTTTTAAATAAGCAAGAAACTATGAAAAATAAAATTTTGTATTTGAATGCTATCTGTACTTTAATTCAAGTTGGTAATTTGTGTGCTTGCTACGTCTTATTACTACACCCAATGCGAGTATGCAATTGCTTTATAATCGGTTGATAAAATACACCCTGCTTTTATGATATTATAAATTATTATTATGCATTCTACCACGTACATGTTGTCTATAGACTATAATACACCCATATAAATGATAAATCACTATTAATATTATCATATTACATTGAAATATGTAATTATTTTAGGTTGACGTGATCACCTTTTACGATACCCCCTTAATCCAACTTATTGTGTGATGTATACATCTTCATATTATTACAATTTATAATTTAAAAAAAAATAACAGATAAAAATATTGTTATATTTACTTGTCATCACTTATGACTCCCGCATTTCAGGTGTGACATATCCCATCGCCTCGCACTGGACTTGGTCACCCGACGGTTGGTTACTGAAAATTGGGTATTCCGATTTTTCCGGGGCCGGGACCGTGCACTTACTGGCTGGCACCTGTTCGTTCATTGCAGCCTTGTTCATCGGCCCCCGGAACGGACGTTTTAACACCATCGCTCCGAACGAATACAACGGACACTCGATGCCGGTAAGCCACTAGACTACGCCTGTTATATAATATAATACACAACACATGACAGGAGCAAGCTGGATAGAACATAAAATGAATGAAACAGTGTTGAACGAGATTAATAACAGAAGAAAAATAATGAACACAATATAATGAAAATAAAAAAAAGCTAATTGGATATCTGCTAATACATAATGAGTTCATCACCATCATCATGGAAAGGAAAATAAATTGTAAAAGATGACCGCGTAAATCCTTTGAAGATATCGTCCGTTGAATGGGTTGTATCTCTTACCAACAACTTAAGAGAACATGCAGACGGCGTGTGACATACATGAATGGCTACCGCTACTTTGCTACAACAACGCTTTGCCTTTAGAAGATGATGATGAATTCATGATAAAGCACAAATATAAATACATAATAATTTGCTTTACCTATTACGCCTATACACAATTTCTAAGATTATTTTTAGTAAACAATCCATATTTTTCGAAGCGAAATTGGATTAGTATCAATATAGGGAATAGTTACGTATACCAACTCGTATCGAAATCTGAGTCCGATACGGGTCGGAACGTATCGCTTGTATATTGCGCGTGTAACTTCTCGAACCCTCAAAATTGACCCGATACGTATCGAGATACTCCAATTTCTTCCATGAAAATCTTGAATGTGTTATTAGGTACCTACCTTCATTAAAATCGCATTGCATCATATATTTATATACCTATAACCTAACCTAGTTTATAGTATGCGACCATTTATAAAAACTCATATTTATATACACAGCTAGTTGCCACGGGGACCCTGTTGCTCATATCAGGATTCCTGTCGTTCAATGGCGCGTCCCTGGGCCACATTACTAAACCCGGCGATGGAGTCATAGTGGCAAATAGCGTGGCCAACACCATTTTTGGCGGTAGTGGCGCGGCAGTGGTCATACTGATTATGGCCAAAGCTGGTCTCATTGGCGAGTCCAGGTGGCCGTTCGCGATGACCATCAACGCTGTCTTAAACGGAATGGTGAGTATATAATATTAATAATCTTAAATATATACCTACTTACTTTACATAGTTACAAGTGTTACAACCCTTCGGTTGATACCTTGTTTTTCAATGTTGCAGTCCAATGTATATAGGTATAACCTAACCTATACTTAACTATTTATACATATATTTACTTATAAACTTACTCAAGTTTCGGCGTGCCGTAATAAAACTATACATATATTTGAATATATTTAATTTTATACGTATAAACTTACTCAGGTTTCGGTGTGCGGAGGTGTCAACGAGTACACACATTTTTCTGCTGTGCTGGTCGGCATGATTGGTTGTATCATTTACTTAGTGTTGCAATGGGTTGTTCCCCGTTTAAAAGGTACCTTACAGTATTTATGCCTTCCACCTAAGTACCTAATTATTATATTATTATTATTACTGCCAGCGGTATAGGCTTTACTTATTTCGTCGACCGATGAGATATTTCAACGTGTCCATACATTACATAGTAAAAAATATGGCACCTGGTGCTTTAAGCCGGCCCTGATTATTTGTAATATTTTCGGTGTATGTAACCAAGTATTATTGATTATAAATACATAAATAATTATAAAAAGTATTCATAACCAACGCACTTATATTATATTACACATAATTCAAAATTGATTTTCTTTTAACATAACTTTAATTCAAACAGTCAACCATCATTGATTGTTTTTCATAATATTCGTTATGGTTATATAATTAAATTATATTTTGTTTAGTGGACGATCCGCTCGAAACGACTGCCGTCCATTTTGGAGGTGGATTGTGGGGAGTGATAGCTACGCCACTTTTTGTGAAAGGAGGATTTTGGAACAACCCCGATTCTATGCCAGTAAGTGTATGCCTTCATAATATAGGTATTAAGTATAAAGTTGGGTGTCCTATACTGGAAGCACAAGATGTCGAGATGATTTAACTAACACGCTCACATCCATTTTTTTCTTTTATCAATGATTTAGATTCTGATTTTTTAAATTATCAGAACTATGCAATTTAAGTAGTAAGAGAGTTACCATTAGACCATCGGGGTGCTATTATTTTATTTTTTTTATTTACTCTGCCATAACAATTAACAATAAAATACATTAAATATTAGGTAGCTGATACGTTAGCTATAAGCTCTTATCTGGTAAACGGAGTTCAACGATATCGCAATTCGTTTTAAGGTAAAAACTTATACAATTGAAAATATGATTTAATTAAATAAACATAAAATAATAATAATAGATACTTAAGAAACAAAATTTAACATCAGCATTACATATAGGTACAAATTATTACTATACGATAATACCTATACGATATTATGTTTAGACATACAGACTTTTATAATTTTATTAATACACACATTATCCTTAAGATCATTAACTATTTTATTTATTGCCTTGGTTGATCATAGGTAGGTACTGTAAATTATTATTAAATGGATAATTTTTTCCTTAAAAATGTTGATGTAGGTATAATATCTAAACGAGAGTTTGAACGAGTAATTTCCGAGTTATTAAGATGTAGGTATATGTATTAATAATTCTTAAAAATGATTTTACAAAAACATGAAAAATTTAATCTATATTTAAATGAACATATCAATATTCACTAATCAAAAAAGAAACGACCTTTTACTCGAATCGACCAATAATTTTTTTTTTAAATACATTAACCTCTACAAAAAGCAATGTAATACAATCAACTCTTCAACTGTACACACATCAAGACATCAGACTGAAGAATTTAAGACACTGGAACGACAACCGTCGTATCACTGTGCAAGTGCAGGTCTACTGTGCAAGTCTACGGACTACGGTTGTCCACAGAACGACCTTTCCGACACTAAGACTCGCCACCAGCGGCTGGGCCATAGTACGATCACAGCTACACTCCTCTTGGTGCCGACGGAAGAACCAAGTCGTCGAGGACGTATTTCCGGCAACTTAAACGGGACTACATCGATCAGTAATACAAACGGATTGATCTAACAAAAACGATCTTTTAAGAGCTATCACTATTACAATGTCTCAAGTACCCGACGTGCTCCTGTTCAAGCGATCATCTCTGCCTATGCACTTTTCCACCGTCACTTACATGCACAGACACGTCTTACAAGGAGTACGGAAGCGGTCCCATTCCATCATAATTATATAAATATATTAATAAAGGAAACGTGATAGATACACTAAAAATCCTCGTTTTTCTGCTATTTACTTCACTAGACATTAAAAGTGTGCTCCGTTTCAACATATTTAAGTATTTGAAAATTATGTCCTTAAGTACCGATGTTCAACAACTCTTAAGATAAGAATTTTAACAAATTTTAACTGTTGTTTAAATAATATGTACAAGGAGATGGAAAAAACGTTTTTAGAAAAACATATAATAAAAGTTGTTAATATTTGGTTTTTTTTCAATAATTAAAATGCGGGTTGTTTAGAAATTAGACAGTAAACGTATCATGCATTTTGCATATTTGTAATCAGTCCGATGTATATGAGCAAAAAAACATTATATTATTATTTGTGATGGGTTAAAAAAAATATAGGTTATTTTATATTTTTACTTTACAGCTATTGAAATCAAATCTAATTGGTGCCGGAGCGATTATTGTTTGGTCAATAGTAAACAGTGCAATATTGTTCGGATTTCTTAGAGTGTTTGACCTGCTTCGAGTGTCCAAAGAAAAAGAGATTATCGGTAAATGAATATTTTTTAATATCATAATTATATTTTAGTTGCATTATGTGGCAGTAAGTAGGTTAAAGACTTGAATACTTTATCGATATTATTATATTATGTTAATTTAAGAACATTATTAGATAGGTAAAAATAATATAATATTTCGTCAGGGGCGTCATTTCAACTTTTGAAAGGATAGGGCAACTGATTAAAGTTGCCGACTTCATAATATTTAAAAAATTATGCTTATCTATATATTTAATATGTATGGACGATAGACCATCAACAAAATATTTTTTTCGGAACAAAAAATGTAAGGGTGAATGAATAATGATGTCATGATGATAAACAAATAACATGAAACGTTTCAATTTACCCAATTAAATAATAACATTAAAAATAGTAAAACGTTAATTTATTTACTTATCCTATAAGTTACCTATCAAGTATCATTAGGTTTAATGGAATAATAATATAAATCAAATTAAATAAATACTTAAAATTTTATTATTTGTACATTTAAAACTTTGATGAAATTATAATACCAGTTAAAACTAATAATACTAGTTATGATTAGATCGTGGAAGTCGGCAACGGCTATCGATGTTATCAACACAAACAATTTGTTGTATACCTATTTTTAGAATTTTTCTAGACATTTCATAGAAGTATTTCGAGTAATAACGATTGTCATAAGTTGAGGAGGAGCCAGTGTTTCCCAACATATTAATAACCGTGAATGTGAATTTAAAAGAGAATATTAAATTATCCTCTGCAACACATGTCCCTAAAAGACTAAAAAGGCTGTGGCCCCGAGACTTGCTCAAAGCATAAAATTAAAATGTTACGAGTCATAATATGACCTAACCAAACAATAACTTAATGTAATCTCTGGTCAGGTGACACTACTGAGGGTCTTCCTATTCGAATATTTCATAATGTCATATAAACTTTGTCATCATACTTACTGATTATTGTAAAATAGATTGTNAAAAAAAAAAAAAAAAAAGAGAATATTAGAATAATATCTGATTTCTGAGTGTAAAATAGTATATACAAATTTAGTATTTACCGATTTTAGCATTTGATCATCGGACAAAGAATTGCCGACTTTTTAAAAATGTTTAGAGTGGGGCATTTGCCATAGTCTGCCCCCCCCAAATTACGCCCCTGTATTTCGTCGTGTATGAGTTTGATTATACGATGTTCTTCCAGGTTTGGACATGAGTCTTCACAAAGAACAAGCGTACCCGGTGACCAACATTTGTATTGAAAACGGACATAAAAGTAAGTGGTCAATTTTATTATTGTATAATGACTGTAAAAAAACAAAAATATTGTTTCGTTTACTCGATTTGAGCAATAAATAAATAATTTATACATAAATATTATAATACAAGCCTGCTTGGGTGAATTATTTATGAAAATGCAGCATATCTAATTTTAGAAAAATTAAAATTAAGATAGATTATTTATTTTTTTGACTTTCACTCATGTTATTGATTTCATAACCTGATACAGAATATTTTCTCAAAAATATTTTATTATTTTTAACTGTATTTTTAATTTAGTCATTTAGTTAGTACATGGATACTAAAATATTAATTAATAAAGTGGTATAAAATTACTACTGTGGGAATATAAATTTAAAAACTCGATATGATATAAAATGTCATAAAAAAATGTAAGGTTAAAAAAAATCTATTAGTTTCTTCCCAAAATTGTAGTGTTAATCTATGTTATGCATTATACTTCTAATATCTTATTAAATATTTATTCTTAGTTCTTCATAACGATGTATACAATTATAAAACGCAATAAATGACAAAATTATACAAGTACGTTTGAGTGAAAAATCAACCACAGCTGTGTAAGGCATATCTAAGGCAAACCCGAATGAATTATGTACAAAAAAAACTAAACTATAATGGCGAGATTAATATCTACGATCGTATTATTTAAATTTTATTTAAAATTCGTTTTTCAGATAACAAAACCACAGTCATCAGACACGCTTACGACAATGTGGCGATGCAACACACCCTACAACAATGAGCAGATATCTCACCCTTTGAGTTTATTTATGTAATATGTGCAAACGTTGATCAATAATACATATTATAATATAATAATATTATGATAGGTGTATTATATATATTATACATTTATATAATACATATAATGTTGAATGTTCTACTGGCCAATATAATATCACGGTATACCTAGGTGACATAGGTAATAATATAATATATTATTTAAATAATTTATATTAATTTATTAAGTATTATGTATTTATATGTTATATATATGATGGTACCACATGTGTTGCTCAGGCCACCCGCCCACAGTGGCGTGCCCATTGGTAGGGAGGTAATTGCGATTATATCCCCCCTCGGCCCTCATTGTAATTTGTATTTTTAGCCGACCTACTTAGAACTTAGTATAGAACTGTTATTAATTATTATACCTACTTAATGTACCGACTACGTTCCGAGCTTCCATGTACATAAAGTAATAATCAGGTACATACTGCAGCTGAGAGTCATGCAAATGCGTTGTACCTAGATCAGAAAACTTTTGTGCTATCAGTTTGTGGTTATCAGAAGCTGCGTCAAACTGTGTTACGCATAAGTATATTTATACAAGCATATATAGCACTGTGTATACGCAATATCTAATAATATACTCCTATTTACACGTTATACATAGACAAAGATTGACTTGAAGTATGCTTAGGTTTGTATCTAATATAAATATTCCTACAGGCTACAGCAGTTAGATTGTTTGAGTACAACGATGGGTGGATCACAATTCACAACTTCACAACTACTCCCCCCCCTCTCAAAAGTCCCAACCACCGCGGGAGTTGTGCTCTGTTTTGTTATGTATTAGTTCTTTATTTATGGGTATATGGTCAATACTTTATTAAATGTCAAATGTCTAAATGATATAAGTAAAGACCCGATTTTGCATAAAATGCATGTTGCTATTTTCAACATCATAGACATGCAGTCAATGAGTCTCCATAAATCATTACTTGATTGATTAAATATCAAAATTTTAAAGTGTATATTTTTGCATATTCTGATGTTAGTGCATGTTCCGCATATTTTTGTATATTTTATCAAAAAACCGTACAAATATACACCTAACGATAAAAAAATGTGTTGAGCAAACATAAAAAAGAGATTATAGGTACGTACTACGTTTATATAATATTAATATGAAATATTTTACATCTCAAAGAATAGTCAGGCGCTAAAAATAGGTTAGGTTATTGTTTTTCCAATTAACATACTACATTAAATTGTTCGTACTTTTTTCCAATTATATAACTACCTATATCACCAATGTATCTATTATTTAATTTTTTTACAATGTATCAATGATTACAAATTAAATTACAATTTAACAAATTATATTGTTGTATTACATATTTGTTATATTATACATCTTACTTTTTGTTTATGAAAATGTAAATAAAACTAATAAATAATTATTACTGCAAAATTAAAATCAAATATAACAATAACATGTAATAAAAACTGAAATTTAATTTTGCATCTTTTTCTTGCATATTTTGCCTTTTTTAGTGCATGTTTGCATGCATATTTTAAAATCTTAAATGCATATAAATCCGGTCTTTAGATATAAGTATCTTATACCTACTTACGGTTTTATGAAAAGGTATTTCGAAAAAAAAAATTTTATTTATGTTTTGATATACCTACCTACCTACCTACCTACCTATACTTACATAGTTTAATATTTCTTATACCTATTGTTTAACATGTAACATGTAAGTTAATATACAGTATATCAACAATCATGTATCTTAAAATAAATTTGTCATGCAGTACCTTTATTAAATGTTAAGAAAATAGAAATTCATGGTTTTTTTAATTTTTCTTTGATATAAATGTTTGTGATTTGTCCATGTTAACCTAACCTAACCAATCTGGGACTAAAATAAAGTCAGCTACTACTAAGAATTATATTCTTTTAATATTAATTACGACAAAATGTATGCAGTACGAAAATAGATTTCAAGTAAAAGGTGTAGTACCAGTTAACTTTATTTTCTATTAGGTAGATAAAAAGCAGGACTCGTAAGTTCATGCATATGCATGTTTTTTTTGCTACACAGAAAAACATGCTAACTGAGATACAAATCCGTTTCATAACAATAGTAATAATAGTATGAAGTCTAATAGTGCATGTTTTGGGTGTAAAGGCATATTTGGCATATAATCGTTTTTTTAGAGTTTACAGCGCATACCTATTATTTCATAAAAAAATATTTGAAATGTTTCTTGTTACTCATTTACTTTCCCGTTAACTGAATGATAGTGTTTTGATTTATTTTTATTTTCGTGTGACTACTTAGTATTCTAGTATTTCCCTATTTAGATTTTATGCGTTTTACTTATTACTTAGAGGCTAGTACCGCGGAAACAATTTTATATTTTTATCGCTACCACTGCCATCTTTCGCCGTGTAAAGTCCGTCGTCAAAACGATACCTGTACAGGCATGTGTACAATCAAGATTTTCAAGAAGAAAAATTCGATACGTATCGAAACGAAATAGTTACGTACCACCTAGTATCGGAGTACGAGTCCGATACGGGACGGTACGTATCGCTTGTATATTGCACGTGTAACATCTTGAACGCTCAAAATTGACCCGATACGTACCGATACACTCCAAATTCTTTCTTGAAAATCTTGAATGTTTCTTACCAACTCGCATCTATAATTTTGTACACTGGTACAGCATAGTTTTCTTGCACACGCCAGACGCCGATGAGCTGTTTAATTGTACGAGTCGTGAAAATGTCAAATACCTACCTAATATTTCATTCCAAATGTTTTCATTGTAGATGTAGGATAATGGTGTACAAAAATTAGACAGACAATGACTACCTAATTAAAATTGATAAAGATGACAAATCCATATGATTATATGAACTTCACCTTCACAAGCATTCATTTTATTAATTTTGATTGTTAAATGTATAAAAATTAAAAGGAATAAAATACTTTTTAAATTAATGGATATATTCTTATTATTTTAAAATTTGCGCATACATTTTTTACATAATGTATATTTTTGAAATTTTAATTGCATATTTTAATGCATGAATGCATGCTTATTTGTGCTCTTTTAGACTTTTAGTGCATGAACTTACGAGCCCTGGTAATAATAATAAATGGAAATATAATAATATTTTATTTCATCCATAATCTAAATTCAATTTTCTCATTATTTAAACTACCTATTACAGCCCAACACCAAGTACCCATTTCGTATTTACTAAATAAACTAGATGCCTACGCAAAGGTTGGATTGATTGGTCCAATTGGTTTTATATTACTTTGGATTATAAATTATAAAATTGTCTTAAAATAATAAATATACTACAACCCACGAGAAAACTGATCAGTCTCTAGTAGGAAATATTTTTCTTCTTTTAAAATATTTAATTTCATAAAACAAGTTTTAGAAATGATGATTTCAATGCAGTGACGTATTTAGCAAATCTATTTGCTTTTTTATTTTTAATTTAATCATAAACTTTTGGTTAGAATAGACCTTTTGTTTTTGTTGTAAATTTGAATTTAACAAAAACACAGTCGCAGGCTATATTTCAAAAGCATAATATTTGTTTATACTTTACTGATTTAAAAAAAATATATACAATTATTATAGTAAGTATAAATTAAACTTTTGAGCAATCGTTTAAATGTTCATTCAATAGGTAATAAGCTATTTTACGATAAATAAAAATCATACTACTTTCAATAGCATTTTCGAACAGAACTTGACATTTTAATTGAACACACTTTTACCTAATCATAAGTTATTGTTTTTATAATGATTTAAATATAGTTTAACATTTGGTTTAGGCCTATTAATAACTATTGTGACACATATTGTGTTGGCATTTGATGACAATGTTTTCATTAACCAGGTATTGGTGTTTGGATTGTATACTTACAGATTCTTCATTTACCACGTTAATAACATATAATAAACCATTTAATACAAATACACCCATATTATAAAAATTAAATACAGCAATATTAATAATAATTATTATTAGTTACTAGCAAACAATCGACATACATGCATATCAGCAACAGAAGTCCATATATCATCACTTGGTTTATAAGCCTCGCTTTAGAGCTTAATCCTTCTTTATTTGTACCACCAATAACATAGATTGCACTGTACAAGACTCATATACTAACACAAGAACAATTAACAGACATTTCTGCAACTTTTGCCCACGAGTCAATGGTGGGATCATAACATTCTCAGATTTCAATATAGAGTGAATATCAGTACTTCCTACCAACACAATAGAATTAAATTAAATTAATTATAAATTTAAAATAGAAAAAAAATGTATTTACTGCATATAAACGATTATTCAGTATTCTGACACCCAAGCTACTTCTCTCAACTACCATACTACAAACCATTCACCATTTTTTGAATACTAAAATCAAAAACCTCTGCACTTAAAAATGCATCGCCATCACTAAAATTGCCAGCCTAGCATTCAATATAATATATGTTATTTAAACCATAAAAAATGTAATCAATAACTTAAAGCATATACGATATATATCATAATCATCCAATACAGCAAATCCTAAAAAAGTTTGACTAACAAACATGTGGACTACCGGTACCCAAATGGATGATTGCAAAGATAAATCAAGCATTTCAACATGTTGAGAACTTAATTTTTTAACACCACCCACATCATACACTAAGTGATCTTTTATTAGAGATAGACCAGCTGTGTCACGGTTTTCACTCATTTCTGGTGCGATCTCCCATAGATCAGTTTTTGGGTCATACCAGTTTGTACAACTTTTTTATTGTTTTAATCCAACTTAAAGCCAGAAAAATCTGAAATACTTTAATGGATAAAATAATTAATAATATGGATCAATCATAGTTCATAAAGGAATTATACTTTTTGTAAACCATTAAGCTGCTCTGAAGTACAATGAATTGTTTGTGGCATGTGGGTTTGATTTATGTAAATGGAAATGTAAAGCATCACATATAATCTTTGCATAAAAAATATTACTATCATATTATTATATTTCCCCAAACCTCGCCTCTGTATATACAAGATTATATTTATTACATTTATATGTTAAGAAAGTTAATCCATTAACAATACTAAAATACAAGAGTTTTATTAATTTTAGTCTGTTTACTTTTTCTTCATGTGGAATGACGAGGTCATCATAGGAGATTAGCTTAACTAGTTCTTCAAAAGATAAAGATAGGAACTCATCATATTTAACTATTTTACTAAGAATATAAATCATCATTTTCACAATTTTCTAACTGAAACAAATAATTAGATTATATTGTAGGTCGTACATAAAATGTTTTTTAGTACATCTTCAGAATTATACAACAATTTCCCAAATCAGCCAATTCCAAGGCAATTTGAAGGATTGTGTTGCATTAGTAAAAACTCCATATAAGCCTCTTTTACATAGTCAAGCTATAAGACATATGCAGCTGGTAACAAAACACAGAGAAATTGACAATAATGCATTCAAATAATTTAAAAGACAGTTTATATATATATATATTAGCTTATAAGAAATTAAATATTTATTTATGTCTGTACATTTTCTTCAGTTACCATGATCTCTCCAGTATAAATATAATCCATGAATAGTTGTAAAACGGTGAAATCTAATTATTTGATATCAACTATATCTTTTTTCCTCTCATTAAAATTACCTAAAATTGCAAGGAAATATGGGCTAGCTGCCATTAAAACATTTTTTATGTCCCAACATTAGTGTTCCATCATCAGTTTTCAAGCTAATATCACAAAGAACTTCATCTCTAAAAAAAATATTTATTTTCAAGCAGCTAAAAATAATAAAAACATACTTGCGTAAAGATTGTAAAACTTCAAGTAAACTAACAGGGTGAGAGTTATTTCTAAAATTTCTCGGTTTACTTTCATTGGATTTTAAAGCTTTAATTTGAACACTTTTACATGATGAATTCTAAGTAGTTTTATTCATTTCTTTTACAGACCACACATCTATTGAAATCATAAAAAAATATTAAATATTACATTAAAAATATTTCGCTTTTGCACAGCTATATTGTAAAACAAAATCTGAAATAAAAATCATAGTAATTTGTAAGTATATGGTAAAGAATATAGACACCATTTTAATTCTAAGGATGTTTACCTGTATGGCAATTTATTTTTTGATTAGTAATACTTTAATCAGTTGTAGGTTGAACCATTTTCGGTGGAGCAGACACAAAAAAAAACTGGATGTTTTTTATAAAGACAGTACAACCGCAATTTCTTATAGGGATAGTACCATATATTGTAGCCTTGTAGGTAGGTTAAATATTTAGTACATTTTCAATATTATTGAATTCAATATAGATTTTTTGTGTCTAATATAGTAATATTTACTTATCAGTATAATATCTAGTCCGTGCAAAAATCAAAAAGTGTCAACTCAAAAGTAAAATACCACAGTACTGACAACTGACTTTTTTAGTTTATTACTTATTACAACTTACTAAGTTATTTTATCTTCACTCTTCAATATTAACAGTGGACAGTTTAAAGTCTCACAGGCCGAGGTGAAATATTTTCGTATCAAATATTATTCAATAGTTCAATACGTCATTTAGCTTGATTAGTCTGTGGCGCATAGGTACATCAGTGTATTCAGACATTCAGTATTTCAGTCGACAATCCCGGACCCCGACGATCTTTTTCTCACCGATTTGGCTGTTAATTTGAGAAAGGGATAGAGAATTCCGAATTTCTGTCTTCTGATAGTACTTATCATAGAACCACAATGAAGATAAATGATAATATTATTGTTATTATTATTATCTACATTGTGCACAGAACACACGGACACGGGCAACCCGACAACGGCTCGTCGTTTCCTCCATGTGTAGTGTGTATAACGGATTTTTTCATAATATTCAATAGGTAGGTACTATATAGGTAGGTAGGTACCTATATATTATTCAGAAATTCGGTTATTTAAATTTTTCATTTAGTCAACCGACGAATTCAGAATCGAAGATATTTTAAATATTTTAACCTTATATTCAACATTCATCTATGTAATCAGTTACTCATCGTGAAGGACCCAGAGGACTCATACGTGAAAAGTAATGAACTAATGAATAATTTAAAAACATTTAATAACTGACAAGGTGAAAACTTCTACCACAACGCTTTTCGCAGTTTGTGTTTTGACAAGTCATATTTTCTTAATATACCAACTTCATTAATCATTGTAATTTATTGCTTAACATCACTAATAAAAAAAAACCTCACTTCCGTACTCAACATTCATCATTGCGTAGTGTATACTTTTGAACAATTAGTACATAGGTAGGTAATAATACAATATTATTTCTTTTTTATATTTCACTAATCAACTGTTTACATAGGATAAAAACAAGATGAGCAGTTATTCTACTCCAAAAATACTACGCTCCACAGCAAAATTACCAGAAACACCTGCCTTAGAACGCATTGGATATGGAACAGGTGTGTTGTTCTTCAAGCAATGTTAATGTGCATTAATTTTAACTCTTATAATAACTTAGGTGTCGGTGTGTTCAATTTGCAAAGAAAAGATCAGTCGCCGTGGGCAGCAAAAATTATCAGTCGTAATACTGGTAGAGATCGCAAACAGTTTAGCAACCGTTTGCAGCTGGAAGCCAAAGTATTATCATCACTCAACCATCCTAATATAATTGGCTACAGAGCATTTGTCAAAAGACCTGATGGCCGTGAAGTATGATCCAACAAGTTATAGCAACTTCTATCCTTTAAATGTTTTTTATTAGTTGTTTTAATTTTAGGTTCTATTAATGGAACAATGTGAACAAAGCTTAATTGATTTGATTGAAACGCGCAAGGAAGAAAATCTTGGACCATACCCTGTAGAATATATTACAAAAGTTGCTGTGGACATTGCTAAAGCATTAGAATATTTACATTCATCCTTAGTATTGCACGGAGACATAAAATCTGGAAATGTTTTAGTGAAAAGTAAGTTTGTTTATGTGTTGTAACTACTATTAAGTATTAACTATTTATATATGTACCATTATGGGATACATATCAAAAATTTACACTACTGGTATAATTTGATGTACATATATACCTTTCATAGGTCAGTAGGTACTTTTATTTTAAACAAAATAGTTTTATGTAGTTCTTAAAATGTAACAATAACAGAAGATTGGCTGCAGACACAATATTGGTGTGTACTGCAATAACAGTGACACAGAAAGAGACAGACAGACTGATTAAAATTTCAATATTTTACTGGGCAAATAATAATATGTTCAACTTAAATTGTAATCCATAATCATTTCTACAGATTTTTTGTATCATTATTCTAAGAATCATAATTACATATAATATTAAGGGAGTAAATAAAAATCTTTGATTATTTTTTAAAGTGGCTTCTGGCCCTGACTGAAGGTTCTATTTTTTGTATGTGTTAATTTACCACAATAGTTTAAATAACTAAAAAAACTACTTGTCTTAAAGTAGTTGTTGAAAATAAAATGTATAATCATTTACTATTTAAGTTTAATTAGGTGATTACTATAACCCTAAACAATATTAGTAAACTTATCCAAAGATATAATTATTATATAAGTCTATATAATTATGAAACTATCATTAATTTACAAAATTCATTTTAACTGAAAAATTGTTAGTCTTTGCATTGTGATTAGGTTTACTTTAAACAATGTATTTAGTTAATAAACTTTTTATTTTTAAGATTAATTAGAATGTTATAATTTTCTCAGATAATTTTGAGATTGTAAAGCTGTGTGATTTTGGTGTCAGTTTACCTTTAAAATGTGATGGAACACTGCATAAAATCAAAGGCTGTAGAGCCTTATACATTGGGACTCCTTGTTGGTCTGCTCCAGAAGTATTAAAAGGCGAAGAATGTTTAGGGGCCATTATCACAAGTAAAGCAGATATTTTCAGCTATGGTTTGGTACTTTGGGAGATGATGACTTTATCGTTCCCAAACTCAAGTACAGCAATTAATGAATCATATTATACTGGAATCAGTGATGATTTGGATGCCCATTTAGGTAATTTTTTTCGTTAAATAATTTTGAATATATTGTTTGGTATATTACTGACTATAATTAATCGTTATTTTTATTCAGGCGAGACACCGCCAATACCTGACAGTTTGGCAAGTGATCCAAGATACAAACAAATTATTGAGCTGTTTAATATGTGTACAATGCAAGATTATAAAAAGCGACCTTCAGCAAAACAGATATTGCAGTTTATGGGTATTTACTAACTTTTATATTGTATGATCCAAATATAATTTTAGTACCCTTCTTATAATTATTATTTTTGTTTTATATTTTACAAGTGTACAAATGAGCTTTCCAAGTGTTTATAATATGTTATCTATAAGAGTATTTTTAAGCATATCAAAGATATAATTTTTGTGCAAAACTATTGATATTAAAAAATATTTAATTATAAAAACTTTATTCAAATTTCTTTAAAATCTTATTCCAACACAAAAATTGTATAATTTATTTCCTTAATATCAATGTATTTTATTTTAGAACTAAATCAAAACTTTATTTTAACAGAGAGAAACTCACCCTATCTTGTTATTATTATGTTATTGATTTTCAATAAATGTCTTAACCATAATATTTAAAAAATATATTTTATTTTAACTTTTTCAATTAAGTTTTTTATTATATTTAAAAGATAATTCATGTTTTTTTCATTTTAATTATTTTAAAATTTCTTGGGTTGGTAGATTTTCTTATGGAACTAACATTTTTAATATTTTCATGTAATATATTGTTTTAATTTATATTTGTTAATAAATAATATTAGTTACATTTATTACTATAATATTAGCTGAAATTATTTTTTAGTGATGGGTACTTTTATATTTGTCTAGGATGGATTTTCCACTATTTCTGTTAAATTCTGTGCTGAGTGATGACGTATTGGTTTTCTAATATATTTGATGTTTATGTTTTTTGTTTCACACTTAAGAATTTCAATCTGCAACTTTGAGTGTGATTTCTGGAAGTAAAATGGATCTATTTGGCACTTTTACCAAAGATAAAAGTAAAAAATTCCTTGTACTTTTCAAAAAAAAAAAAAAAAATTAGGAAGAACTAAATTTTTACACTAAACTTTATTTTATTAATTTTAACATAAGGTTTTGCAGGACTTAATCTGAAAAAACCTTACCAAATGTTAAATTTGTATACTTCCACTAGGTATGTATAAACCATTATAATATGTAAAATGTGACATATTTTCAATGTTGGGTTAACTACTTTTGAAAAGTATTTAAATTACGTTACTCTTTACATTAAATATTTTTATTTAGATTATATTATTGACATGCAACATTATTTTTATCATGGTATGTTACTTTTTCATTTTAAAAGAATGGCATTACAATCATGTTAATCTTAATAAAATGTAATAAAATTACCACTGCGTTATTGAAAAAGTAACTTTGAATACATTCATAAATGAACCTAGATTCATATAAATCCATTTAATGCTTCAATTCCATATAATGTTTAGGATACCTGAGGCCACTCATTGGATCAAACATGACAAGCTCGCTATTGTTAAAACTCTTGAACCACTCGGTAATGTTGTTCCTGTTAACCTTAAGTTAATTCATCTTGGGAAGTCTCGTTCCGAATTTTTGCGCCCTGTCAAAGTTATTTTTGAATCTAAAGATATTCCAATAAATCTTTTTGCTACCTACAATACAGCTACACATTCTGGGAAATCTTTTCCTGAAGGCTTTCAGATTTCTAGAGATAGAACTGCCCTACAACGAAAACTTTTGCGTTAATGTTATGATCAACTTGACAGAAGAGTCAGAAGTGGCGAAACTAACCTACATATAGTTTTTGTTAACGGATTACCTGCGGTTGGTTCAACTTTTTTAAAAATCGGTGGAGGTCATCATTGTCAGCAACCCAATCCAAGTTAACTTCTTCAAATTCGTCTGAACCTCCATTCGTCTCAACTAACTGCCTTCATACGTCTATAAGCATTGATTCTACTTGTTATCTGTGTATCAAGGCAGCTTCCACTATTAATTATTACTATGAATTTATCAATAAGCATAAAAATACCTCTGTAAATACTCTTAATCTTACTTCTCAAGTTAATTCTCTTTTAAGTTTAAATGGATTATACCAAAATTGTTGTGGTCTTAGGACTAAATTATCAAATCTTAAATGTAATGTTGCCGGTGCAAATGTTTTATTTATTGTTTTAACTGTAACTTGGCTAAATACTGATATTTTTGATTCTGAGTTAGGATTTTATAATTACAATGTTTATAGATGTGACAGAAATAATCTTAACAAGTAAATGTTCTAGAGGTGGTGGAGTCCTTATTGCCATACATAAAAGTCTATTTTGTAAAATTATTTCCATTAATGTTCAAAGTATTGAACAATTATTTGTTAGTATTAGTATCAACCATGTTAATTTTATAATTGGTGGTGTTTATTTTCCTCCTTGTTCTCCTGCTGTATCCTATGAAGCCTACACTATCACAGTTGACGATTTAGTCAATTCATACATTAATCATAACTTTATTCTTTGTGGCGACTTTAAATTACCTGATATCATTTGGTCTAATGATAGTCATGGTTTGGTATATTCTTCAACTCAGTGACGTAATTACGGGGGGGGGGATTTGGGTGTCATATCCCCCCCCCCCCCCC